CACCCCAACACCCCCCGGCCCCCTCACCTTATCCGATTTCCTCTTCTTTGCTATGGGGAGAGACAGAGAAGGGACAAATTTTACCTTTTCTGGTGGATTTAGCCCCAAACGCCCCAGCAGCCGCCACCACCAGCCCACCTTCCACCCCTGCTGGCGGGAGGCTCCCCTCCCCAGGGATGGGGTGGGGCAGTCGGAGATCCCCACACTCGGCTGCTCGCACCCTGCCACCCACTGCACGTGTGCCCAGGACTGGGGTTCAAGGGCCACGGGGAAGCTGGGACATGTCCCCCACCCCTCACGGGGGCCAGGGACCCCCGGCCAAGCTGGCACCCACACACCCCACGTCCCCCCACCTTTCTTCTCGGAGCCGTAGGACCAGTCGTTGTCGTTGATGTCGTCGTTGTCCTCCTGGTCGCTCTCCGACTTGTTCATGTTGTTGCTGCTTGCGATCCTGTATGGGGAGGGGGAGGAAGGTCAGGGACCCACAGCCGGGATCCATCCCGCATCCTTCCCGGCACCCCGGGATCCACTCTGCACCCCGCCAGCACTGTCATGCCCACCCCAGACAGTCCCAGCCCCAGATCCAAGACAGGGGTCCCCAGCAGCCACTAAGGGAAGCGGGGAACAGAGAAGCCAGGATTCCTGGTTTGTTTTTCCAGGAAGGAAGGAAACAGCGGGTTAAAGCAAGAGGAGCTGGAGGTGAGACTCCAGGGTTGGGGGGCAAGGACGCACACCCCCACAGTGAAAAGCAAGAAGGGGGGAGAGCCCAGGTGCCTACTTTCCACCCCAGGCTTGTCAGCGCTGAGATGGAGGTGCCCAAATCCTCTGCACCGCCCCCCCACCGAGAAGAGACACAGCCCCACAGCCTCAGTCCCCCCTTGCGCCTTGGTTTCCCCATTACAGAGGGGGGACCGCTGGAGCCCCCAGCCCAGCTTTTTCGGGGGGACACGCTCACCTCCGGTTGGCAATGCGGCTGCTGTTGCGGCCCATGCCCAGGCACTTCTCCAGGTGGGGGGCGAAGCGGGAGGCGGCGATGCTGCGGCTGCAGTTGGGGCACACGCATTCCTTGTTCTTCCACTGGTTGTAGACCTGCCCGAAGATGTCCACACCGGGCTGGTCCACGATCTCTGCGGGAAGCACACGCGTCAGCCCCCACCCCGAGACCCGCTTCTGCTGCGGAGGTGACGCTGGCCCGTGCCACCCCGGCTCCGGTGCTTTGCTTTTTGGGGGGGGTGTCCCTTAGGCCGCTGGTCCCTTCCCAGACCCTCAGCTTGGCTTCGGGGGCCTGAAACCAGCAGCAGTGCAGCAAGGGGGGGGTCTCTCTCTCCCCCAGGGCACAGCACTGCAGCTTGAGGCAATATTTCTGGGGTTCAGTTCAACTCAGGGGTTTACAAAATGGCTCCTCTGGGACGGGACAGCCACGTCCCGGTAGCACCGGCACTGCTGGGGGGGACACTTGGGCTACCAAGCGTTTCATCCCCCTCGGCGCCGCTTGCGCCCAAATCCCTATGCATGGGGACGACCGATCCCTCCCCGCAGCCTTTCCGCGGCTTTTCCTGGTGGCACCGGGAGCGGGACGCTCGCCGTCTCCCCGTTGCTAGCGTCACCCCGTCCCCGGGGAGCTGCGGGGTGCTCACCGAAGTCCTTCATGCTGTCGGGGTCCGTGTCATCCAGGAAGAAGTAGCCGCACTTGACCGCCCGGTGGACTTCGAAGCAGAGGCCCAGGCAGGCATCTTCCACCAGGTCCGTGTAGATCTCGTGCGCGATGGCCTGGGGCAAGG